GAAATTTTACTAACATTTCCAGTGTCATTTTGAGCCTCCAGCTCTCGACTCCACCCTGCGCGAGCATTAAGCCTAAATCAAAGATTCCTTGTCTCAATCAAGTAGCAATGCAATAAACAGTCAGCTTACATTGATAAGAGTGAATTTGTGTATAATTTAGCAATAGAGAAGTCCCAGATAAATTGTCTGTTAGAAAAAACAATGATAATCAAATGCATTTACTTGTTAGAAAAAAGCCGTATACATTGTAGAATCCTGGAATTTATACATTGAATGCTGGAGCTAGATATCTAGAAACACGAAACAAGGCATACCTGGACAAGATTGAATGTTAGTACATCTGTTATAGCGGCAATAGATGTTATCGCCCCGGTTTGGATGGTTACTATTCTAGATGTTAGATTCATGTATTATTAGTGTATTAGAAACATACGGATAATGATTTTATTCACGATAGAGACCGTGGCGGAAAAGCAGTCCTTCTTATGCTTGACCTGCACATTAATGGGCAAACATATAGGGATGTATGAGTCAGGAAGAGTTAGCACACATGGGGAGTCGGCTCGAACAACCGAGAGAGGTCATACTCACCAAGAAACAGATCATGCCAACAGATATGACAATATCACACAGAGCTGAAGCGATTAACCAAAGGTCGAATACCCATGAAAATGTAGGAGTTCCCCCAAATTCTGGGTGCATCGTAGTAAATGCTGTGCCAGTAATCCCTCCTGCGAGGGAAATCAAAGCCAGAGTAAAGATAAAGCCAGCCAACAAATTAGACCTGGTCAAAATCCGTATGCGCCACCCATAATAAACTTGAACGAGCGTGGAAATGGAAGACTGGCGGTGTATTTAGCTGCTAAATAACCGAAAAAGAAGAATATACAAACTGTAACAAGAGGATCTGATTTTCATGGTTGATATTACTTAGTGACAAAAATCCAAGTGAGAGAACGAGAACACACTGGATACCAGTACTATTCATAGGGACAATAAGCAAATGAAATACAGTGTACTCAATTTTTACTTACACGAAGGACTTTTAAGACTGATATGTCCTATAGAAGTAACAAAAAATCCAGGAAGTTCGGGTAGCCCGTCATTTAACAGTGGGGGAAAAGACAAACCAAAATTTTGGATAAGTGATTCCCAAGTTATACCAAAATCAAGGCCGGTATTAATGGTCTCAATGATGACCAGCATCATGATCTAGCAGTAAAATTCAGAAGATATGGATAGTAGTAGTCAAGAACACTGACGAGACAACGAGTCCAACGGCCATCCCTGATTATAATAAATAAAGTTAAGTTAATAAGTTGTACATCTAATACTAACCGATGACTTGAACTAAAATAGATGTATGTCTATCATGCCGCCGTCAGGAGTTATTGAAATCTCATGAATGGTGAATTGACCTGTACTAAAAGGACCTTTGAAAGGAAGACATTTGAGTTTCGAAAACCTCTGAGGATTAAGCTCACTTACTCCATACAGAATTGCATTAAAGAAAACCCCGATCAACATTGGTCCGTAACTGCAGGATACTGGATGATTCGCAAGGCGCTTGAACAAGGACTGGAAATGCGTACAATTTTGATGGGGATAACCCATCTGGGTTAGACATCTGGGGCAGCAAGATCCTAGATACCAAGCAAGTTTCCTGAGCCATTAAATAGTTACAGTATATGTTCTGCCGCGCTCAATCATCAGGCATCAAAGATGTCTTGATGCTTTTTGAAGCGTGGTTTTCCCTCAAACGTGCGAAGGATCATACCGCCACTCTACAGCTTGATCAATCACGCAGATCCCGTTGCAACTTTCTGTAAGGTGTGGGTTTATGAGCACGGCGTGCAACGGCATAAATGCATTCGGAGTTGAGATTTCAATAGTAGCCAATGTCCGAGTCATGTAGCGACCACTGATTTAGAATATCGAATCTTGGTGAGTCTAAACGCTTGTAAATGACCACAACAGTACAGCTAGCAATGTGATACGAAACATCCTTTCCTTTTTTCCAAAACAGTGGTTTTCAGTTTATACTTCGTGTATGCTACATCGAAGATTCAAATCTGGTGCAATACGGTAGCTTATTTAGTTAGTAGTAGTACTGGATATCACGGAGGTCCTTGTTGGCGGCACCGCAGCGTCTGAAGTGAAACCAACAGAAGTTGGGGTATTGTGTTGTGGACTCATTGAAATAGTGGAAGGCGTATGAGGTAAGGCGGTGTGTTGAGATGATGCAGTATTTGGTACAATGGTAGAGGGAAAGCAGGCGTACCCCAGTCTAGTCACGAGAGTGATAGAGTGCTCCATTAAATTCGATAATATACTAGGTTGCGAGAATGAAGCTGCGTTGGAAGCCGCCTCCTCGTCCTCGGAAATTACGAATCCAGGTCTGTTGATATACTACAACCAACAACGTGATACGAAACATCCTTTTCTTTTTTTCAAAACAGTGATTTCCAATTTACACTTCGTGTATGCTACATCGAAGATTCAAGTCCGGTACAATACGGTAGCTTATTTAGTCAGTAGTAGTACTGGGTATCACGAAGGTCCTTGTTTAAAAAGTCACTCAGAGTCCGAGAGAAGCGAGCGTAAGGCCAAAGGCAAGAGAGCGAAGGAGGTGAGCGACGTCAACGAGTCTAAGAAGAGGTTTATTCATAGAATTTTGATAAAATGATACAAAGTACTCACAAGGTAGCCACGAGGTTAAGTACACCCGCGAGAAGAGTCTCGAGGCCAACAAGCACCTGGTTCAAGGCAACGTCGACGCCAGAGAGAAGAGCACCAAGAGTTGGGATGGAAGCAGCAGAACCGAGAAGACCATCAAGAGAGTTTGTAATATCCTATTTCGAAGCGAGCCCATTAGTACGCGTTGATATATGAGCTGAACGAGAACTCACCGTCACAATACCGGCGATGAGATTAGCGGTATCATCGTTGGACTGTCTTTTGCTGGAGCCCGGGGTGGAGAGAGCATTAAGACTGTTGGCAGCGTCGTTGAGAGCAACGGTAAGTTGTCCGATGAGAGGAGTAACATTGTCTTCGGTAGCATTGCCTCCAGAAGTGATGGAATCTATTTTGTAAAAAGAAAATGTGTTAGAGTTACCTCAACAATGATAGAAGTCGCACCAATTTGTGGTAAGATATTCCCGACTTGATCCTGCAAAGTGCTGAGGACACTGTCAACATCGGCGTTGCTCTGACGCTTGATAGCGACGTCCGAACGACCCTGGGGGAAAGTGATGGGGTTCGAGGCGACAAACGTGAAGCTCAGGAAGAGCGTGAGGAAAGAGACGAAAGAGAAGGTACGAGAGAAGATCATGTTGAGTATGGGTAGGTGTTGGTTCTGCTCGGTTTAGAGTGCAAGAAAGAACGCGGAGTGATGGTTTACTTCACAAAAATATGAGCAACTTTTATACGTAGATGACACCACGAAAAATAGAAAACAACATACATATGAGGTCAGTAAATCTTGGCTCCTCAAATTGACTATGTACTGTATAATTTTTTCTTTTGGTGCGTTATGACATGTGGTTCGGATTTTCTACGCCACAATCACTTTCAATTCAATTACTGGGTCTAAGAATCAATTCTTCGGTAGTTGTTTCTGAAACGCAACAAAACCTCGAGCCTCACCTTCTCTTGCTTCTATGGGTAAGTGTAGCCTTGAATAGAAATATATTAGAGGGTCTTAAACATTATACTGAATACGCAGCCCGGCTCCAACAGTTATATTACGAGCTCCTGACGAATCAGAGACGAGGTGCTGAATTCTTGTCCGTTCAGTGAAGTTCTTCAATCTATAGAAGACAAATAAGTACTGTGCGGGGATAATTTCGTCTTGCCAAACGGCTTCTAGAGGATTCATTTCGAAGTCTTGTATGATGAATCTGTGACATTTGAATAGGGTGCATGTTCTGTTCATGAAGAAAGATAGTTTTGAACGCTCAAAGAAGCACCCTGGGATACCAAAAATGCGCCAGTGTACTGCGGTGTATATGCTATGCTTGCTTCGAACGTTGGTGCATATGGAGCAGTTAAAAAAGTGGAGATTTTTTTATCCTCACAGTCGCCGGTGCCGACAGCTCCAATTGACAGAATCTGCTCCAATCGCGAGTCTGACGTCAAACGCGTCCAATCCCACCTTCCTTTTTTGAAAATCGACGTCATGTCGCCGGCAATTTTTTGTGGCGTACTCAGGGACGAATTATCAACCCAAGGAATTGTTGCTGTGGCCAATTTTTTTTTCAGCTCTGCGAAGCCTATGTTGAGTAAAAACACGGAGGATTGACTACAACATACGTGCTGTTACTTCGATCACCATCAACCGCAGTGTGTGAGATAGAAAAGTACCGGAAAAGCAATGAGATTCATGTAAGATTCACATGGATAAATTTAGCCGAACTGAAAAAAATGATGTGCAATATACGACTGAATATTTGTTGGGGACTCACAAGGAGGATATAGCAACCAGTTCTCCATCTCCACCAAGCTCTGATGTCAGCCGTGAGCTATGCCAAGGCACAGTGACGATGAGCCGTTTGAGTTGGATGGAGAAAACAAAAGAGATACGCAGACCGAACATCGGTAAAGTCTGATGCTTACCCTACTTCTGCTTGAAGAAATCAATCACGTTCATTGCTCTGGTATTCTCTCCTCTCAATCACGCAGCCCTGAATCCCGTTTTCCCTTACAAAACTTGGCTCACAGTCTCAGCTGAGCTTGGCCGGCGGACGCACATCGCTTGTAAGGTAAAGCGATTGGATACGCTATTAAAAGCTCTAGTGGCGCTGTTATCTGGAGGTTTAGTGGAGTTTTGAATACCAAAGTTTATCTGACGGGAGTGTTATGATTGGAGAAGGTCGAGTGATTTGCTCTGACCTACAACTCTTCGGCTGGGCTGTGGCCGGGTATGCATAAAACACGTGATTTTTTTAAGTGGTCGTCAGAGTCAGGTCCAAACCAAGTATTGAAGATCTCTTCTTTGGCACGGCCGGGTGGTGTAACTGGTAACACTCGCGTCCTTCAAGCGCGCACTACGCGGTTCGAGTCCCGTCCCGTCCATACCAGCATTAGTGAAATCACGATAAGTACTTACTTACTTGGTAGATATTTTGCTCTTGGTTGGGGAATATTAGGAGCACATCTGAGCTAAAACCTGGTCTGAATGTGATGTAGACTAGCAGTGACCCGTGTGATACACGGGAGTGTAAAGGGCCTCTTCACCGCCCTCCCTTCGGTCGGACGGCTCGAGGCCCCGTGCAAGCGAGCAAGTGATGTCATCTGAAGGCCAGCAGCCAATCAGAATGCATCTTTGTCTTTGACATTTGGCAAACACGAACAAACAGGCGTCTTTTGTAGTGTTGATAACTAGAAGTAACTCCCAAATTCCGCGTCAGCCCTGCGAACCCAAGTCATAAACGGATTGAGACAAGTCTGGTTAATAGACTCCTCCTCCTCTCCCCGATTATATCCTTCACATAAGACGCCGCTGAAATATGTTCGTATTTCTAGCCTTTTACCTCGTTTGGCTTCCTCATTCTGGATCTTCTCTTTTTGGAATTTAGTGAGAACCATAATGATGCATTTTAGGCAGGTTCGATGGAGGAAAACGGTGTAAATGCAGAAACGACTTCTAGCATAAACAGTAGACTTCGGTTCAAGCTTCTGTGAAAATTGCTTATCTTTCGACGCGGAAACCTCATACGTTAGTTTCTGACGCTTTGCTAATACTCCCTGGCATATAGAAATTGATGTAGCGTGTATAATTGATGCATAAGTATCAAATATCAACGTGGCTCCAAATAACCAGTGTAATGAACGTAGCCCTAATCTGGGCATTATAGAGATGAAATGTTCAAATCGATCAGATTCAACTTAAGGGTGTTTCTTGATTCCGCAGGTACGCTAGTACTCTGATTGCTCAATCGTGTCCTTTTCCTCTTTTGACTTCATGCATCATACATGATCCACGCCGATCAAAAAATTTCCTAGTGCAATTTTTCATACTCTTCCAACAATAGTCGCTGTTGATGTTGAAAAATTTTTTCACGATAGGTAGCTAGGCTTGACAAGTTATTGGGTAGCAGAGATTTCTGAGTCTCAAAAGTGACAGCTTGCATTTGGAAGTGAATTTTGTTATCTAGGACGACACTTGCAATATTTCGACTCCTTACCGCATAGAGATGGAGCCGTCTCAGTTAGAATTGTGGCTATCAAACTGCTCAACGTTGGACCTGAGAGGATGATTTGAGATTACCGTGTTTTGAATGAATGACGAGTCGTAGAATTTTGCATGATTGGAAAGTCTGCGCCCACCTAATCATCGAAAAGAATATCCTCAATTACGGGCAGAGTATCATGAAAAAACCTTATATTCATAGCCTTTTAGAGCCCTTCTGAATATCCTCTCTGGAGTTTGGCTTGCCGATCTTCTTTCACTCGTTTTATATCGATGGAAACAAGGTAGTATCCACGAAAAAATTCAGCGTTTTGTGTGTGGGACCCATGGCTGAGGGAGATAGAGTCCAAAGGGACGATAGATGGTCAGCCATTTACGCGTGTTTGGTCAAATCTCCGTGACACGTGCTTTTGATCAGCCAATGGGAGAAATGGCTCGTATTCTCACGCTATCGCAAAAACCGCTCGAGGCACTGCTTCCATCTGTTCCTCCATCTTCCTTCTCTTCCCTCACCTCGGTTGGCTTTCCTCACCTTCCCCCCACCTTCCTCTCCTCACCTCTTCCTTTGCCTGCAAATTTTCGACACAAGTCTAGTCGGCATCTCGTCCTTTTCATACTCGGTACTCCTTACCACGATTTCTTTGCTAGCGGTATCACTGTCAGACGTGGTCGGTGTGCGCATGCTTGCGTCTTCATCTTTTCCCGCTCCACTCACTTGACCGCAACATTCACTAGATTGTGTGTGTAACGCCGAGGCCTCACCCACTCTGCTTTATCCTCGTTCACTTCAAGACCGTCGTTGGCTATACCTGGCAACATGGATCAATGTGGTTACCCGTATACCCTGACGGTCATTACTGGCGTTCTTCAACACAATTCTAGCTATCTTGCCCATGACGACTCTGAAGGTTGATCGTCCGAGCACCGTTTATCCCTTTTCTCGGGTTAACTCGCCTTTCGCTATTGGTCCATGTCGACATACGATCACCAAGCAAGCACCGTTACTGGGGTTCTCGGCCACTATTCCTTTTGCGATTGGTTCCTCTGGTCCCCGTTTCTACCGACAGTGATGTATCTTTGGACTAGGACAATGACCGCCGTTTCCGAGACACCTCATTCCTCATCATACCTCCATTAATGATCACGTTGATGGTCCACGAGTTCCCGAGTCATTCCCCGAGTAATCTATTATCGTTGACGTCGTTGGGCTGATGGGAAGCCGAACTCGGCATGTCTAGACTACCTCTGCTGCGCAATGCAGCCGGTTGTTGTTCAGAGGGATAATCTTCATCCCCTTGGTGAGCTTTTCAAGCACAATTGAAGTACATATAGTTGCGGATAGGCTTTTCCAGTTAGTTATGATCATACCTGTGTATAAATAGAATTTATGTTCTAAATTTGTTTGCACCAGAAAGTAATTTATGCTGTTAGCGATTTTCGCAGAAACTTAACAAGCTATACTTAGATGAAGGGCAGCATCCCCGACACTTGCTGAGCCTCACGACATTCTGTGTGGTTCTGAATATCCCATGAGTAAGTACAATCATTTTTAGATATGTTGAACCCCAGAGTCCTGTGCGTAGTGTTTTGGGAGGTGGTCAAAAATAACAGCTAAGCACGTTCTGGCCAATTTTCTGCCAAAGTGCGCCACTTTCTGACATGTTGCTAATACTTCCTACCGCCAAGGCAGTGTTTTGAGCATTGAGCTACAGATCTCGTCTTACAGTTTACAATTCAAGTTATATTCGTGAAAAGATAGGACAAGCGAAATGCTGTCTTATACATTATCATATATAGTTAGCTATACATTCCGTGTGCGAGTCCATGTACACTATCGATGAATTAGTGCATAACCCCAGCACCCTTCGCATATCTTCCAAACATGACTTCGCCAAAGCCAAGACCTATGAGAATAGAGAATATGAAGCCGACTTGATAGGTCCTGCGTAGCGTTGGTTTCCGAATGAATGATAAGACAAAACGATACGCACATGATAGCTAACATGAACAGGTATCCCAGTCCCGCTTGTGCGATATAGAACAGTCCGCGAACGATATCGTGTGATGGGATAAAGGGTGGTGCAAAGCGTGTACGAAGCAACAGAACGTTTTGTAAACTGAACGATTGAGATTCATGAGCAATACCGTTGGATTTAGAACGGTTGAGTTGATTGGCTTGAATCACTTGAGCACTGTGGAACCAAAAGCTAATGTCCCTTTTTTTGCTTGAAACAACAAAGATCGAAAACGTACCTCCGCGCCCAGAAAATCTCCATACACCCTCTAGTGGCAGCCAGCCATCTATCGATAATTGCCAACAAGAACAAACCAATACAAGTTCCCGCCATCGCGCCGTTTGAAGCAGGAACCCATCCTTGGAACCAAAGAACGTCTCCTGGCGTGAAGTGGAAGTACATGCGCATCATGCCGGAGGCGAGCGACATATCGCCATCCATAGACATGTCCATACCGTTCATAGCAGCGAATGCAGGGGCGAGAAGGGTAAGTAGAAAGACGAAGGACATAGCTTTCGAAGCCATCGTGCAAAAGAGTAGAAAGCAAGTTGACCAGGGACTTGCTCAGTTCTGTAAGTGAGTTGCTGATGGTAGAGCCTAACCCGTCTTATGGAATGACACATTCCATTTGGCCCGGTGACAAAAACTTTTTCGACGAGGGTGGCCGGCCGGCCGGCATTTTCGCACAAGTGTGGAATAATTCACAGGTCCGTGGACGGTAGACGCTCCGCTCCCATAATATCCTTCAACTCTGCTAGTAGTTGTCATCATCGAACGCCGCTCTCTCTCAAGGTCAAGCAGAGAGCGATAGGTTTCAGCAGATTACGAACGCAACGATAGCTTAAGGCTTCGCTTCCAGTAGGTGAGTTTCTGTCGTGCCTTGCATCACCTTCCGAGGTCTTTTAAGCTCGCTTTGATGTAGCTCACCGTAATCAGCTTACCTTCGTATTGGCAGAACTAGAAGCTTAATAACCTCAGCCTCGGAACCATCATGACTGACCACGGTACTCCCCCCTCGATTCCCACTGAGTTTCAGTTGTACAAGTGAGTCTGCTTTCTGTCCTTATCCCAAGCGAAAATGATGTTTACACAATTATTATCTCAGCTCATACGAAGAGGATCCTAAATGGCAGAGGAAATTCTCTATCATTTGGGCTGCTCTTGTTGCTGGTGCAGTTCTCTATTCCTTTCCCCACCTCCTCATGTCCATACGAAGGAGTAAAGCATTTGTTGGATTTTGGGGCCTGAGAGAAGACTGGAATAGTGTCAATAGCCCGCCGCGTGGACGAAGAGATAGCCCGAGTCGTAGCTCAATCTCTCCCATGAACAGATTGCAGGGTATCTTCTCAATGTTTCGTTCAATGTTCTTGTGGACTCTTCCTCTTTTGAGATGGAACCTCGGGCAACGTGAGTCTTTTATCTTCGGATCCTCCTGCTCGTGGTTCTTACTAACCCTCTGCACTAGTTATCATCGTCGTAGGCTATCTGGTCATTGTTCTCATCTGTCTAACAAGTGGGGCCCAACTCGCTTCAAATTCCAACCGTGCTGGTATGCCATTTTGTTTCGGTTTCATTACAGTTTTTGACGGATTCCGTCCAAGGCTTCCTCGCAATCGCCCAACTACCTCCTCTGTATCTGTTCGCGACAAAGAACTCAGTGTTAGCATTCCTTCTTGGACCAGGTACGTTTAAGGTAAACCATCCTGTGCTTGTTGTTAACTAACTCTTTAGGCACCTCTTATCATACGCTTAACCCTATCCATCGGCTCATCGGCTTCTCCATGCTTCTTTGCGCTTTCATCCATGGCTCCTTATGGATCTCCAACCACCTGACCTGGAATCTCCCCATTCTCTCTCAACAGAAAGAA